TTCTTGAAAAGATTGGCTAGTTTCACTGTTGCAATTTCTCTTGCATCTATTATAAAGTCTATACTAATTCCGTCTTCACCTGGTGTTTTACCTCTCTTCATGCCTGTAAGCGCTCTTTTTATTACTTCTATTGTGTTGTTATGTACGTCTCTAGATACTGCTTCTATCTGTGGCTGTTCATTTGAGTTGTATAGATCCCTGTAAAAATCTTCCGCTACTCTTATGATTTAATTCTTATTATATGTCACTTCTCCATCAGGTTTCTTTATTGCAGACATTTGATTTCCCCCTATTACGAGTCTAACTTCACAGTGTCCTACGACATCCCATTTAATGAAAGTTACTCATTGTCCTTATATTGTATGTACAAAGGTTCAACGTGGGGGGGACCTGTTTGTAACCGGAGATTTTTAGCACTCTGCTCCGGAGTGATCCTGATCGCCGCCATAACCAGGGGCTCCTTCGCCTCTGGGTAATGAGGGCCGTTGCTCTGTTTGTGCAACATATATATATATACACACACACACATAAATATATATGTGTTTTTATATATATATATATATATATATATATATATATATATATATGCATATATATATATATATATATATATATATATATATATATATATATATGTATATATATATATGCATATATATATATATATATATATATATATATATATATATATATATATATATATATATGCATATATACGTAAATATACATATATCCACATAGATTTGCACATATATATATCAGTTAACAAACATAGTAGTATGTGTGTTTATGCGTTTGTACAAGTGTATGTAGATGTGTGTAGTGTATTGTTTACGCAGTGCGTGTATGCTTCCATGAATGTGTGTATAACCATTGTCTATACTTAATAAGAACTTGTGTATAACTATACCGTGTACGTGCGTGTTTACGTTTACGTTTGCAGCTTCTTTTCTTAATAATATTCGAAATATATACATCTTCAGTGTGTTACTTACACCCCATACCTAGCATCAATAGTTTATTTAATCACGAAAAAATATAAAACCGAACAATGAAAGCCATGTAAAGCGATTCGGACACAATAATCAGTGTTGCTAAAGTACTTCTCATCGTCTGTTGTGGCGGTGTTGAAGTCTACGGATGCGACACACACGTTTCAAGCGGAACAGACCATGGTATTAATGTCAATATTGCGAGACTCTTTTACTTGTCATATATAAGGTCGGTCATAGATTACCATGCATTGCACCTAGTATTGTTCAAGGAATCAGAGTTGACTAGTTTAGAAAGTGTACAAAATGAAGCCATGAGGATCATCCTTGGTGCCCCTAGGACAACAAGCCTTGTGAATATGAGAACAGAACTTAATTTGCCTTCTCTTTATGAAAGAATACTGTACATAAATACCACATTTAGTGTCAAATCAATTAGAGAACCCCTCCACTGTACAGAGTTCCAAAGACAACTAAAACACAGAACAGAAGAGCTAACTTTGAATGATAACACCGATTCATTTTCAAATCCATGGGTACAAGTAACATGTAAACACTTAACTCAGCTGAACATACCCATAACTAATTCCCTACATAGACGTTCTGTACCACCGTGGAAAATGTCTGACCTAAGTGTATATTATACGACTGCCCCCCAAAAAGACAGTGTCCCCCCTGCTATACTTAAGCAGTATGCACTTGCAATTATAAGTGAGCATCTAGAAACTCTGCCCAATGCTTATGAATGCTACACTGACGGATCCTTACAATCTGGGAGCAGAGCAGGATGCGCTTTTGTTGTATATAAAAACAGCATTTTGCAGCACCAGGATTGTAGGAGCGTTCATGACTGGGCTAGCACTTCACAAACTGAGTTGGCAGGAATACTCATGGCCACCGAATTTCTATTGAATCAAGGCTCAGGGGTCATTTTCTGTGATTCACAGAGTGCTCTCCAGGCACTGAACACTTTAGACAAAGGTGCGGGAAATATTGCAAACGACATCAGGATAAACGTATATCGTGCAAAAGAACGAGGCCATAATATACGTTTTGTATGGATCCCATCGCATGTTAGAATCCCTAGGCATGGTCATGCTGATCGCCTAGCAAAGTCAGCATGTGACAAACAAAGTGTAGATATAGATCTTGGGGTACCTCTTTCTAGGATTTTATACACCATTAAAGCTTCCTTCAAAGAGGACTTGACTGAATTAATTAATTCTCAACGCCCCGAAAGCTGTAGCATAAAGCACTATGACCGGTTTAGACAAGATTCATTCATCTATGGTTTATATAAAACAAGAACAAGACAGTGTGATGTTGTGACTGCAAGAATCAGGCTTGGATATAGAATGTATTGGCAGGTCAGTGCAGCTTGTAATGTCGAAGAAACTAAGTGTAAACTGTGTAATGAAGAATATAAGCGAACACTTGTACATTATATCTCAGAGTGCCATGTGCTACAGCCTTTCAGACCACCTAGCATGAGGTACGGAGAACTATGT